TTTTCACCAGTGGACCTCTTCATCCGGTTGTGTTAGGTCAGCCCATAGGAACACTTTGGAGCAACATCCTGGCCAAACCCACAACAAGATCTCGTCCATGTAGACCCGCTGTGGCCGTTTCCCCCCTCCAGGTGCCGGCGGTGGCGCCATCATCCCTGAGGGGGCCACACCCCGGAGATGCGTGCCGCCTCTTCAGACATGCCACCACACCAACCGGTTGTGGTAGGTCATCCCATATATAGAAACTCTTGGGAGCAATGTCCCCTTCGTATAGACCCGATGCGGCTGTTTCCCCCTCCAGGTGCCGGCCGGTGTCGGCGCCGTCCGTGAGGGGGGTCATCACACCCCTTCGTATAGAATCGAAAAAATGTATGTATGCTTATATATATTAACAAATGCTACATGTAAGTTAGTCAAATAATAATACGTAAAAAACATACATATATACTATGCAAAAAAATGCAAAAAAGGTATGATGACGGCTTAGCTGCGGCCAGGGTAGATGGACGGCGCGGTGCGGATCGATGACGTGTCATCTATGCCGACAGCAGCCGTCGGCATAGGCCTTGGTCGGCACGCTTTGGATCGATGATGTGGCACTTGTATCTATGCCGACAGCCACCCGTCCCCACCATCGGCATAGATCTGACGCCGTTAGCCGCCCATCACGGGCTTGGTCGCCGAGCCCGCAGCTATGCCGACAGCCAGCATATGCCGACGACAGCTGTAGGCGTAGGCCTGGCTATGCCGACGGCCATTCTTTGCCGACGGGGGCCGTCGGCGTATACTGGGATAGCCGGACGGCCGTTGTACGCCGACGGTCTGGGGCCCGTTGTCGGCATAGTCTGGAATAGGCCGACGGTGGCCGTCGGCATACTTTTGGCCATCGGCATCGAGCCCTGTTCTGGTAGTGAATGTATGAACATGTGAAGCCGACAATTCTTTTCTTCTTTCTTTTATCTGTTTCATTGTTTGTAATAGCGAGAGTATCTTATCAATCCAAGCCCAAGCTGACATTTCTACCAAATTGACAAGCTATTGCATCTGCTAGAATCAACAAAGACTTGATTTTCAGGTACAATCAAACACCAAATCGATGTTTCATCAATATCTGTGATTCCAACAAGTATAATTCATCTATAAGCTATGATTGTATCATCATCCCCCAAATTTCCAATGCAATACAACACCAATGCCTCCTAACAATGGCAAAGAACAGAGACACAACTATGAATCTGACATTTCAGGTTCACATTGAATATTCCCTCGGAAACAAAGTGCACATCAACTTAGGCTCAGCTACACCAACATTTCTTATCTTTTGGTTATCGAGAAATTCAGGTGCAAAGGAAAATTCTTCATTATTCTGAACCCTAGGCAGCACATGTACACTTCTATTGGTTGCCGGTGATGAGTGTTGGATTATGGATGGGCTTAGGCCCATATAAGACAATAATCCCTAATTAATTTCTAAGGTCCATTAATGCGTACACCAAGTGGTGGAAACTGTGGGAAGTTTATTACCATATTGCTACAGTAAGAAGAGTGAGACCTATTTATAAGGACTCCTCTACCACTTGCTATTGGGAGCTTGGGATTAGGAGCTGTACACGCGCGCTCCTCCTCCACCACCGCCCGCCTCGCCTCGTGATGACGCGCGCCCTGCGGATTGCAGGAATGAGCTGAGCCGAAGCTTATTTTTGCCGGTTGGGAATGGTATTGATGAAACATCGATTTGATGAAACACAGTTCACTCACTCCCTCTCGCACAACTATTCCTTTCTTTGTGCTGCTTCCGGCCTGATTCATCCGCGTCACCGACCGCCTCTGCTTCCACTACTTCGCCTGCGTCGACTCCATGGCTGATGACAAAGCCGCCAAGAAGAAGGCCTCGACTGATGTCGAGGCTGCCGCGGCAGTTCACTCACTCCCTCTCGCACAACTATTCCTCTCTCTGTGCTGCTTCCGGCCTGATTCGTCCGCGTCACCCACCGCCTCTGCTTCCACTACTTCGCCTGCGTTGACTCCATGGCTGATGACAAAGCCGCCAAGAAGAAGGCCTTGGCCGATGCCGAGGCTGCCACGGCGGTTCACTTACTCCCTCTCGCACAACTGTTCCTCTCTCTGTGCTGCTTTCGGCCTCATCCATCCCCGTCACCGACCGCCTCTGCTTCCACTACTTAGCATGCGTCGACTCCATAGATGATGAAGAAGCCGCCAGAAGAAGGCCTCGGCCGATGCCGAGGCTGCCACCGCCGCGTTGGCATGGCCAACCGGAGGGTATGACTTGTTCATCCCTTGTTTGCTCTTTCATGTGTTGGCCGTATATATGCTGTTCATAGATGTTTCGATTCTATGTACTGTATGTGCTCACATGCTTAGGTATCGGTATGAGATGCATACCGTATTTGCCATGTTTACTATTTACTCGTGGATTAGATTAGTCGAAATGTGCTAATATTTCCAACAGATCCAAAATACCAATTGATTGAACATGTTAATTGCTCCTTGCCCTAAATATTTTTTAAGCATAGGGGAAAGTATACGTCCTCCATTCGCAAGTATATGTCCTCCCTTCTAAATTTAACCAGGCTAGCTCACAATAAGGTGAATACTAAGGCTGTGTTTGTTTCAGCTGTGGGTAATTTTGGACAGCTAGCTTTCCATATATATCAAAATGCAAATATCCTCAAAAGTCAGAAGTTGTAAAACTCACGCGAAGAGCAATCGGAGACACCTGGTTTTCAGATATATGAAAAGCTATCCACCCAAATCTGCCGTAGGCTGCACACAAAAAAGGGCTTAAAAGCTGGTCTACCTTGTGGTGGTATACATAGGTGTTTGCTTGCCCGGCTAGGTCTGCCCAAGCTTGAGCCTGAGCTAGTTTTTAGCAAGACAATTGATGGTGTTTGTTTGAATTGGTTTTGCCTCATAGCCCAGGTTTTATGTGAGGTGACCGAATACTTGGATATGCATGGGAGATGGGACAGTGAAATATTTGGTGTTTAGTCCAAACTCTTTAGTAACATGTTGCATATATAGTTTGCTGATTCAAGCTGTTAGAAAGTGAAATACTGATTTCCCAACCTTTGAATCTCAGTCAGGATTATCCGATTCTATTGAAAATACCAAAGGGCAACCGTGCTGCCACGCCTGTTGCTGCTGCCACTACTGGAATCGCCCTATATGCCGAGTGTCACGGACACTCGGCAAAGGACCAAAAACCACCGGCAACACCTTTGCCGAGTGTACCTCTCGGCAAAAGCCACCCAGCGTACACCTTTTCGGCAAACAGGAATTTGCCGAGAGCCAGAACACGGGCACTCGGCAAAGCCTTTGCCGAGAGCTAAACAGCCCGTCTTGGCAAAATAAAGCAGCTAACGGATAACAGTCCGTTCGCTCCAGACATGTGGGACCATGTCAACTTTGCCGAGAGCCACTCTCGGCAAAGAGAAATACTAGGAGGCTGACACGTGTAGTGTCCTGACATGTGGGACCACGAGAACAGGCCGAGGGCCAACTTTACCGAGAGCCACTCTCGGCAAAGAGAACCAGTAGGAGGCTGACACGTGTCGCCTCCTGACATGTGGGACCACGAGAACATGCCGAGGGCCAACTTTGCCGAGAGCCGCTCTCGGCAAAAAGAACCAGTAGGAGGCTGACACGTGTCGTCTCCTGGCATGTGGTTGTCTGGGAGACACTAATGTTGTGCCCACACCTTTTCCGAGAGCTGCTCTCGGAAAAGAAGACGAGCATTGCCGAGACAAGCTCTCGGCAAAGATATGTAAACTGTCAGCTGCTGGGAGAATTGCCGAGAGAAGCTCTCGGCAAAGATATCGTCTTTTTTTTCAAAAATATTTAGCAAGTTATTTGAAACTTTTACTGATAAATGTGATCAATGGGACCACATGTCAGTTATAAAGAACACACAGAAAAAAGAAAATAGGATGTGGCATATACTTTGCCGAGTGTCGTTTGCCGGCTCTCGGTAATGTACGCAGTAATTGACGGAGCCGTCTGTTGCGGACGGGCATGCCACGTGGCTCCTCTTCACCGTGAGCGGCTCTCGGCGTCTGCAGGGTTTGCCGTGCGGTGCCTCTTCGCCCTGAGGCAGTGATGGCAAAGAAGACAGTTTTCCATGAAGCTGGGTTTGCCGAGAGTGACTCTCGGCGTTATTATCTTTGCCGAGTGTTCATGTTTTAGCACTCGGCAAAAAGCATTACACCCGACGTACATGAAAATTCCAGTAGTGTGCAGCTGCTGTGCTACGAATCCGGCAACAGAGCAATTCTGTTGAGAGTTCGGCAAAGGCTCAAAAGACAAGAACTGACTGAATTTTGATAGACTGCGTATAATTCGACACCTAATTGACCTAAGTACTGAAATTTGTAACGCACCATGCCTCTGTAGTTATATTTCGGTGGTACCTCTTGTTACCTCCCAAGACAGTAAAAAACTAAATAAAAAGGCTAATTTATATAACATTTTAATAAGAACAAGCCTAAATCTTCTTCTCCTCTCTTGTGAGCACATCTCAGATCACTACGTAGGAAAGCTCTTCCTATGTGCCATCATGTTTGTTACAAGAAAATTTTAAATACAGAACAGACCAGAGTCCCAAAGTGCTAGACCAGACTCTGCTCGGAAAAAAAAATTCTACTCTAGTCTGCGTTCTTTTGTTTCTTAAATATTCCAATAACATATTTTTTAGAAAAAAATCCAATAACATCTACGGAGAACAACTTACTGTTAGCTTGGTCGGTAGAGTGAGTCTGCAGTAGACGTCTAGACGAGGCTAATCCGTCCGGCTTGCCTTATTTTGGCTTCTTCTGCAGTATTTTTCTCTCACAACAAATCTGCCGTATCAATCAGCACGCAGCATTTTTCTCTCACAATAAATCTGCCGTACAAATCAGCAGAAGATCTGCCGAACAGATCAGCAGAAGACACATAGCATCCTAACAGTTAGTTGAAACTTGTACCATGTGATGCTTGAAATTTCATGCTACTGGCAGAGATGAGCCGAATACCCTGTCCTTTGCCTTGGTAGCCTGCAATTCAAAACAGGAAGGGAAAGAGATGTCACCCTGGCTAGGCTAGACTCTATATATTGCAGCGTCCTGGTAGAATTTTGTTGGTGTTCAGTAATCTCTACTTACTTCCATGCTCCAGTCTATGGTCCATGTGACAGATGCAAACAAGAGCACTTTGATGAGGCTGCCGCAGACGATGCCGAGCCAAAGGCCCTGTTGGGAGAAGAACATCATCAGCATCTAAGTTGAGAGATGATCATGTCCTTTCACTATACTACATTCAAAGTTTTTCTTTTGCAGATGACAAGTGTTGAGCTTGGTAGAGTTTACCATTCCATTGAGATGGAAGACAAACGCAAGCAGCACCGCCATAGGGATGCCTGCCAAGTAGAACGCGCCGAGGTTCACCGTGGCGCCGATCTTTTGCTTGCCGCAGCCCGTGAGCACGCCTGAGAGAGATCCGTGAAGACCATCTATGAAGAAAGATATCCCAAGAACCGGCAGCATCTTGGCAATGTATGCCACGACCTCCGGCTCGTTGCTGTACATGTACCCCCAAACGTGGCGTAGCAGGGTCATGCCCAAGGTCAGGACGAAGCCTAGGAACAAGGCGATGCACACGACTACCCTCGTTGCCAACTTTGCTGCCTGAGGCTGTCCGGCACCAAGTTCGTTGGAAACGCGCGTGCTGTGGGGTGAAGAAACCAGGCGATCAGCCGATCAAATTTCCAGCAGTGTAATTCTTGTAGGTATTGAGTGGTACTCCCGCTGTAAACTAATATAAGAGCGTTTAGATTACTACTTTAGTGATCTAAACGCTCTTATATTAGTTTACGAAGGGAGTAGCAGATAGTAGTAAGTTACCTCACAGAATAACCAAGCCCCGATGGTATCATGAAGAGAAGAATCCCAGTGTTAAGGCTGCAGAATAATTGAACACTCTGTTAGGTTAGCTAGATCGAAGATGTGTCCTTACTCCTTAATTTCTGAAGCTTGATGTGGGGCTATACCAAATTGACAGCACTGAAGTCTCCAGCTGAGGGTTGGGCAGAAGACCAGACAGCAGCACAAGTGTTTCGAAAGCCCACCACTCCAAGCTGCACCCAAAAATTGACATTGTTTCTATCAAGTGGTGCCTGTTTTTGAAGATTTTTTAAAAGTTTTCACCTGTAACATGTAAATGAAATCCGGGTGTATGGTCTATTGCGCAACAAAACAGCCTACGTTTTTTTTTTTTTTGAATCTGGGTGAGTATTTTTGAGGATCAGTTGCCTTACATACCAGATCATCATCGCAGAGGGCACGGCGAGATCGGCGAATTTGCGCAGATCCTTAAACCCCTCCATGGAGAACCCGTTCCACGTGTCCCTGCAGGAGCTCGACAGCCTGACGTACAGGGACAGCATCACCAGGTTCACGGCGTACGAGATGGCGTTGCTGAGCGCGGCTCCTTTGGCACCCATGCCGGCCTTGAACACGAGCGCCCAGCACACGGCGAGGTGGCAGAGTGCCGCGGCGGCCGAGCTGGCCGTCACGGGCAGGACGAGGCTCTGCGCCTGCAGGAACCGGACGTGGCACTGCAGCGGCACGCTCACGGCAAGCGACGGGATGAGCCACCGCGCGTAGGCGCCGGCCTCGGCGGCGATGCGCGGGTCCTGGCCGAGGAGCACCAGGATCCGGCCGGTGTGCGCCCAGACGACGGCGATGGGGACGCAGGTGAGCCCGAGCACCACCATGGCGCGCTGCTTGTAGACGCCGAGCAGGTGGTGCTGCCGCGCGCCGTACGCCTGCCCGCACAGCGTGTCCAGCGCAGTCGCCATGCCGATCTGCGACACCCATTGCTCATGCATGCCAAGCAAGAATCAGAACAGAGCCCAGTTCTTCATTCTTGAAGAGAGTGTGTGTATGATGAGAGAGAGTAGGGAAATGGGCCTACGATGATACTGAAGCCGGTGACGCTGGCGACGGAGTTGGCGAGGGAGGCGCCGGCGAGGGGAAGCTCGCCGAGGTGGCCGACGAACATGAGGGACATTATGTTGATGATGTTCTGCAGCAAGCAGCTGGTGATCATCGGCCCGGCGAGGCGAACCAGCCGCTTCGCCTCGGCCGCGGCGAGGCCCTGCCGGCACCATTCGTCCGCCGCCGGGAGCAGCGGCTCCGTGTCTTGCTTGTGGTCCATTGCCGGGTGAATCTCTGATCTCTTGCTCCCGCTGGGGTTGACTTGGAGGAGGAGACAGCGAAGGTGCGGGACACAAGGACCGCGTTGTAGGGCAGGGTGTGGTACTGTGCTCGTTTGACTTTTTTTAGCATCAGTACAAACACAAGCGTTCATATACACGCGCATACACTCATCCCTATGAACGCATACACGCACACCCTACCCCTATGAGCACCCCCGAGAGACTGAGCCGGCATATCATCTTGAGATATACGAAGTCACCGTAGGCGCCTCGTCGTCGACGGGAACGTCTCCTCCCACTGAAAGCGCATCGCCGAAAATCCTGAAATAAATCCAGGAATAATGCGAGCACCAGGATTTGAACCCTGGTGGATTGGGGATACCACTGTTCACCTAACCAACTCAACCATAGGTTGATTCGCTATTGTGCTCGTTTGACTTGAGATATATGGGCGGGCCAATGGGATCACGTGACCTTTTCGGAGCTTTCAAGTTTCATGACTGGTTGAACTTGTGTCATCTTGGGGACGTATATAATCTCATGGTACTGTCACTAGCGTTATTAGACTAGCCATAATGGAGAGTAACGTATACTAGTAACATACACATACCTCTAGACTATATTACTACCTTTAGACTAGCCATAGTAGAAGTAATTTCAGCAGTAACATCGAGTCCAACTCAACAAATTTGCTTATGTGGCAATGAGTTAATGAGGAGAGAGATAGTTTGAGTAACTTAGCTAGTTACTGTAACATCACATGTCCAAACGCAATATGAGTCTATAACCTGATAAATGAGGCTTTGCATGTTACCATATATGTTACTACCCACTATGAAAAGTAGTAACATAGTCTAGGAATATGTGTATGTTACTAGTGTATGTTACTCTCCATTGTGGCGAGTACATAGATTTAGAAGATTACAAATTAGAACTCTGAAAATCTATTACCATGTATACTAAGGAGATACGAATCATCGATATACTTGTAGCAAATTGTCACTGAGAGGACGGGAACTCGTGCGGACCCTCCTCGCGGATAGCGGATACAGATATGAGCCGTTTCTGGCCAACGCATTGGTGACATGTGCGCAAGAGCAGGCAGCCAGCTGTGTAGAGACTCGAGTCTTGACTCACAAGCGAGGAGCGATCAACAATGGATGGATTCGGCCGTACGTGGAGAGGGATGGTGGTCTTTCACGTTTCCCAGCCAAACAGCAGAATGGGTCAAGCCATATGTCTCTTATAATGTAATACAGTATACATACAGGATCACACCCTCCCCCCAAGTCTGGGCCGTAAGCGGTCGGCACTCCCACCTAGGCCTAGAGTGTGCCTTGATTGTAGCCACATTTTTTGGGTACTCAACTATGCCAGACTGAACTAAAGAAAAAATGGTGAGGATAGAGAAGTCTCATCTTGATCCGTACAAAAATTTATGGCATGACACCAATGATGAATAGTAGTGAAGTTCCAACAACTTTCAATCCCGAATACTAGTCGTATGTCATGTGTGCATATATAAGGCTCCATCTTCACCAAAATACTAGCATGAAGCTCTACTACTCAAAACAGTTTTCTGCCACACAGTCAAATAGTAGGCAGATGAGAGACTAAAATAACAGTAATGGATTAGAGAGACAAGAGAAGACTATAAGAAAAATGTGGAAAAAGCAGTGGGGAGTAGGAGGCATTGGGACAAAGAGAACCAACAGACTAAGTTAGTGAGTGACAAGATCTCATCACCAAGTGCCAGTTGTAGTAGATTGCACGAGACCGATCTGGAAGGATAGCTGGAGCAGCCTCTTCTCATAGAAACATCCAGAATTATGGAACGGTATCTGAGATGCGTGGCAACCAAAGGCTAAATTTGACGGGACAAGTTGTGCTATAACACATTGTGCTCGGAGGTGCAAATGCAGTGTTGTTGGATTTTATGGCTGTACCTGGTAAGTTGAATGGACTAGCTTGGTGTTTCTACTTTTTAGAGCATCTCCAGCCGTTGAGCCTCCCAGAAGGCAATTTTTTCGCCGCTTGGGGTGCTGCCGGCGAAAATTTTGGCCCCAGCCGTGGCCACCCCCAAGCGTCCAGGCCGCGCCCTCCCGACCGCTCGTCGAGGCTGCGGTAGGAGGCGGCCGGCACGGCCACCCAGTCCACGGAGTGGCATGCGTAGGACTCCGCGGCGCATTTGCAGATGCGGATGGCGTCGTTGGCACGCACGGGCGCCCGGTCGCCCGCTGCTCCCCTCCTCGAACGCGTCGAGCACCGCGGCCGGAGCGGCGAGGACGCGGGGAGGCGAGCTCGGCCGGAGCAGCGAGGAGGCGGGCGGCGAGCGCGGCAGGGGCGGCGAGGAAGCGGGGCGGCCCGACGAGGCAGGGCGCGAGGAGGCGGGCGGCGAGCGGGGAGAGAGGCGAGGAAAAGTCATGAGATTCTTTTTTGCATGTGAGTGGGCCTGCAGGAGGAGAGAGAGAGAGAGAGAGAGAAGGGGGAGAGGCTGATATGTGGGGTTCACCCATGGAAAAAGCAGTGTCGGTGGTCCCAAGTGCCCCACGATGGGCTGGGTGTGGGTTGAAGTTGCCGGGGCTATTTTTGCTCCAATCCGGCGAAAAACAATGACTTGAGGGCGTGAGTGGGGCGTTTTTTCCCGCCGGCGTCCAAAAAGTGGCCTGAGGAGGTGTCTTGGAGGGCCTAGTGGAGATGCTGTTGAATGACACGTGTATACAGGCTGAGAGTGCATCTTTCCTTGATTAACTCTTCAAAATCCAACAGCTAACACTAACTTGTGCACGTTTACTCTTCTCACGCTAGCACGAATCAGTCTCTCGTGAACATAGTCACTGACTGACAAAAAAAAACTCGGTGGCAAAGACAATACTGCCAGGAAAGTTAAGCGAGTTGTCTGCGTTGACTTCAACGGGGTTTGATGTTTGTAGAAAAAAGTACCACTTACTCATTATAAAAACTCAAATGATAAGTGCCATATGTGTGGCAAGAAGCACTTCGACTCTGACGTTGTTTGTATCATTTGATTAATTAGCACATCAGCCTAAAAATTAGTTCGCTGCTGGGACGGCTCGCCCGAACGTATTCAACGGGCAGTGATCGATGCCCCACCACCGCTCGCCTCAGTCATCCCCGTCCACCTCCCACTCGCCGCTCCCTTACTTTTCTCCATCGCCCCTTGCTTCTCCCAGTCGCTTCTCCTTCCACCTCCCTCCTTGCTCAATCCTCCAGCCATCATTGCCTGTCTCCCCGTCGATTCCGGCCGTCTCGGAGTCCTGGCGATTCCTGCCGTGGCCACCTCGAAGCGCCATGGAGCGCTCGACGGCGAAGGCGCGCCCCGAGGGGGAGCACGGCCTTATAGACGGATCCACCCTCACTACGGCACCGTCTCCATCTCCGTCCCCGGCTCGTCGGACATCTTGTATGCCGCCGACACCATCTTGGAGGTCGAGGAGGAGGCGAAGCAGCCCGGGTAGGGGCTCTTGACAGTGACGGTGCAACCCGAGGGGGAGCACGGCCATCTAGATGGCTCCATCCCCACCTGGCGACGTCTCCTTCTCTGTCCTTGGCTCGCTGGCCCGTTGCATGTCGTCGGCTGCCAACGCCGTCGTGGAGGACAACGAGGAGGACTACATCGTGGCCGGCGAGTGGATGCCGTATCAAATGGCTCGACTACACACTACCGTTGTTGGGCAGGCTTTGGCAAGTTGTTTGCTTCCTGAGACCGCCGGTTCTGGCCCTGTCCTTTGAGATCCGTTCTGATTTCCTTGGATTTAGAAGTAAATATTTGTTTTTTGTTCTGGTTTTCTTGTTGCATGCGGCCATTGTGCTCACACAGTATCAAGGTTTTGGTTACCGAATGAGGCATTTTTACCGAGGTGGATTGATAAACGCGGTTACCATGGTTACCGAGAAATACCGAGAATATTTCGAATGAATTTTATAGTTGAATTTTGAATTCAAATAAGTGGATGAACGAACATTTGAACCAGAGACCTCTCAAAACAGAAACTATGTGTTGCTACCAACACGTCAGAACCAACTCTCATGAACCTCAACAAAAAAAAACCAACTCTCATGGCATTAATTAGATCCTACATACTTTACTATAAATTGAGTGTTTAAATTCAAAAAATTCAAAAAACTGGTATTTTTTTGCTTGGTATGGGGATTTACCAAGGGGCTCGGAAATACGCAGTAACCATGGGAAATCTCGAAATTTCGACCGGTAACCAAAACCTTGATCAGTATGCGCTGGTGAAAAAGCTCTGATCTTTTTGGCTTGTGAATTTCCCTGGTCGGGCAATAGTTGTTGCCGACATTGGAATGACAATGTCAGGGCCTGTGCTAAAGTAGTTCATGTCAAGCTTGGTTCTTCTTGTAAGTTAGTGCAGGCGTTACCGATTTTGAAATTGACAGTTGTTGACACAAACTGATGGATGAGGACTCGTGGAGAGCGATGGCATAACCCACCCTTGTGAGGACAATCAGAGATGCTTAAATAACAAGTCAGCGACTTTCTATGCTCTGTGCCCTTAGGGTGTATTCGTTATGCAGAGAACAAAGACCAAATTACAATGAACGACAGCTAATCCATATATCTAGAAATATGTCCCCTTTGTCATTTCCTATTCCATAAATCATGTTTCCATCCGAAATTTTATGACATCGATAGATATACCTCATGCGATCATGACATTGACAGATACCCACGGTCCTCCAACTTGCAGGCCTCATCTGCGTACGTCAATATACTCTATCCGAAATCCCAAACACGGTTTGGCTAGCTTATAGGTGTCCTATTATACGTGACTCATACAGCTTTCTAAGGTCATGTATAGTGGTTGAGAACGCAACATTTTTAGATGGCACATCAAAACCATGGACATTGCTCTTCTATAGTTCTCCAGTGAAGGTACAGAACCTCGCTATGCTAAGGGCAGAGGCCAACACTATTGGTTGTGCCCAGGTAGTTGCCTCTAAAATAAACCTCTCAGTTGGGAGATACATAATAATTTTCTACTAAAGTCCATATTTGTATTCTAGCTGACACAAGACAGTGGTATTCAACCGTGGTGCATGCGCATATGTCAAATATCACATCGATTCCTTTTAATTACTGTCATAAGCTAGGTTAGCAGTACGTTCATGTAGATCCTAT